TCTCTAGAAGGAAAAAGGAAGCTTTATAAATGGATAGGCAGATAATAATAACGCTTAGGTTTTTTTCCCGCATAAATCTTAAATTACAGTAAAACCATCTAATATTTTTTTAATCACATTATTATTCTGGAAAAGGGAATTTTGGTAAAAAAAGGATAAAAAACTAAAAACTAAGGATAAAAAACTAAAAAGGATAAAAGGGAGAAAACTTTTGCAGTTATGAAAAAATCATGATCCCGATAGCAGTTATTAAAATCAACCATTAGGAATTTCGATATTTTGGGGGGAAACTCGAAATTTTATCTTTATTTATTCATTAGTTTTATCTTTATTTATTCAAGAGTCTTTTGTTTATAAACAAAAAATAACTAAGCATGAGATTATCGTTATTTAGAAATAAATTATTTTTTGTATGAAGTTGAACTTATCGGAGATGATTTTATGGTTGAAAAACGAATTCCTTAAAGAATAAGTTTCCTGAAAGAAATTTTGTAGGTCTTAAAAATTGTTCTATTTTCCGGGTAACAATGCTTTGTTTCTTATTTTTATTGTTTTGCGAATTAGAATAATTTTTTTTTAAAATTAGTAACTCGACGGAAAAGATTCATACAATAAAAAAAATTAAGAAACGTGAAATTTTGAACATATTTAATACAAACTAGTTAACTTCAAAATTTTCAAACTTCAAGAATTTGCCAGAATTAATATTACAAACTTATTTTAAACTTTATCGCTTACCTTATAACGTTAAAGCAACCTTTTTGTTTGCTTAATGTTAAATATAGGACCATTTTGAATTAAACATAAAGGTTAATTGCGTAATAGTTGGAACCAGCTATACCACGACGAATGTTAATGATTTGGTGCATTGTAGGTTGAAGTGTACTAAACTAAATACCTGTCTAGTCTCGGTGGCTCATAGGATAGAGCACTCTCCTTCCAATGAGATAATACAGATCAATTTGGATTCTGCTGCCAGCTCGCACCGATAGCAAAGTAGACGTAAAATATCATTCGTGGTTGGAAAATTATGGCTTAGAATTCCCTTGCTGTAAGGCAAACTGTGGGAGTTTTTTGTGATCTTTCTCTCCATGCAATGCGGACGTGAGATTATTTTCATTGACACGTCTTCCACTGAGGCTAGTTTGCGCTTGTTTGATCAAGGAGTTCCAGGGTCGTCTGGGTTTGGTTCAAAATTATAAGGATAAGGAGCAAGGGCGCCGGCAGGGAGGTGCAAGGAGGTGCACTTGCACCCCCCTGGCTTTTTTTAAGCAATTAGAGATACAGAAAAACAATTTTGTTATAATTTTTTTTTATTAATAATACTTTTATTCAAAAACAAATAATTAAGTAATTATTGATACATAACAATTAAAAATTTGTTTAATCAAACAAAAATTGTAATCGTCTTGTTTGCTGATCTGTTTATAACTTTTTCAATGAATTCTGAGTCATCTTTTATTATTTTCTTATGCACAAACTTGGCAGATATCTAAGCTATATTTTTAAATTTCATTTCATAAAATATAAATAATATTATATTTTCTATTAATTATTTTTTTTAAGAAAGGTGTATAATACAAACTGACTTCTCACAACTGTAAAACTTCATCAACACAATAATTACCAATGTTAAGCGTGCACAAACACGTTAGTATACGAAACTACTGTTCGTAGTTATTTGTGTTTCAATGCCAGCACCATCAATATAGTTTTTCGTGGCAACATTTGCAAGTACAAGAAATTTGTACTTTTTTTTAAATATCTTGTTAACAATGAAGAAATGTATCTTAAAAAAATTAAGAGATGAAAGTATATGTAATAGCAAAACAAAATGTAATAAAAAAGTATTTAAAAAAAATTGGGGGGGGGGGGCTGTTGTTTTTTAGTGGGTTGCACCCCCTTTCATATTATTCTGCCGGCGCCCTTGATAAGGAGTTGAACATTGAGAGTCTCAAACCCAAAAACGACTCGGTTGCTTAACGCCAATTATAAAATGAAATAAATAGTCTAGTCTAAAAGTCCATGTTATTTCAAGCCATGGTGTCATAAACTTAGTCTGACGCAATGAAGAAAAAAGGTCCTAAAGGTTTGATAAGGAATTGAACATTGAGAGTTTCAAACCCAAAAACGACTCGGTTGCTTAACGCCAATTATAAAATGAAATAAAAAGTCTAGTCTAAAAGTCCATGTTATTTCAAGCCATGGTGTCATAAACTTAGTCTGACGCAATGAAGAAAAAAGGTCCTAGACATACCTCAGGGAGAAGGAGAATAGAAAGCAAACCTTTAAAGGGGTAATATCTTTTATAGAACAGAGTCATATAGAATATTTTACACTTTTTAAGATCGCCTAGCATTCTTGAGATCTGCGTTTTACTTGTATATCGATTTAATGGCTTATTTTGGCATAATACAAATTAAAGTTTTTTTTGATATCCTATTGCAAAATATGTAAAAAGTCGTCTAGCATTTCCAAACTATTGATTTTTTAAGAAAATAAAATTGATTAAATAATATACGGTAAACAAACTAGAGAGCAAATGGTCTTATATCTATATAACATAAAAACGGAATGCTCTGACGCAGTTTTTTTTTGTTGTCTGGGCATTTTTGTTGAAAATCATCCTGCGCTGTCCAGTTTTCCCTTATTAATTTCGATATTTTTTTGGTTGCCATCAGCGTGAAATTAAAAAAAGGCATAAAGGTCTTTATGATATTTTTCACATTTCTCATTTAAAAGTATTTGCCTTGATAGTTTATTTTTCTTATTCTACGCCGCTATTAGTACGGTTTTGATTGTTTTTTAAATCTTTTTATTGCAATGTAATTCTATGATATTACTTTATATTACTTATTATCTATGATATAACTTTATATTACTTATTATCTATGATATTACTTTATATTACTTATTATCTATGATATTACTTATACTACATTTTAAGATAAACCTAAAATCGGTGTCTTCACTTATTAACCATTTCACAATTATTTGTTGATGTAAATTACATTTATATACTATTACAAATTACAGTTTAAGAGGTTCGTTAAAGGATAAAGTTCTTGTGGTGCGCAAGGTCAGTTAAATCACACGCATTAAAGTTTCATTTTATATTAATTAAAACAGCGCGTTGCTAGGACAACGCAACTTTAATTACAATTCTGCAGTTCTATATACTAGTGGGCTGCGCCCTCTGCTCGCTAACTAACTTAGGAACATTGCAAATGCATGAAATTCTAAGAATTCAAAACAATCATTCAAATCCATATAAAAAATTTAAAAAAAAAATTACATCTTTTTAGTAAATATTAAGTCATTAAAATAAATTTGAATTCAAATAAATGACTTGTCATTCGTTAAACCTATTAGAAATGTGCTATAGTATAATTCGTGATATAAATCAAAAATCGTCAAATAAATTCGTAATACGTATATAAATTCGTGAAAAAAAGCGCTTTCGATAAAATATTAAAATAGAGATCTATCGACAAGGACTACTCACTTCTGCCTAGCTTAATAGTATGAGATTGCCGCAGCCGATGCTCTCTGGTTATTTCAGTTTCCGTTTTTAAAAGCGCTATATGTTAAGCCACCTCAGCTAGATTTGGCATGTGACACTTTTAGCGGCAATCATTGGTCGATTCGCAGTGTAAGAGAAATAGTAACGTAAACAAAACAAAGCAAACGTTGCCACCGGCGGAAAAGAAATACAGCCAAAATTTGGGAGCCACGTAAAAGAATTATATATTAGATTTGGATATTAAAGAAATAATGGATGTAAATATTTTTCCTCATTAATAACGTGTCTAATAATTGGAACGAATCATGCTTATAACTATATAATAACTTGTATATAACTGTAGGCGTTAAATGTTATAGTGTCGTCAATTTATTTTGCATTTATTCATCCAAAATCGCATGCATACCGCAGGAAGATAAAGCACATTCCTTTACAAAACTAACAATTGACAGAAGATTGGTAGGTATGTAGGTATTTTATTTACGTCGCACTAGATCTGCACAATGGGCCATTGGCGACGGTCTGGGAAACATCCCCAAGGATAATCCGAAGGCATGCAATAGCAATTTTGTTCCTCTGTAGAGGGGATAGCACCCCTGCTTTGACGACCTGCAAGCGAAGTCGAGCACTTTACGGTAGAACAGATTAACGAGCTTATTGACCACAGCTACCGATGCTTGACTTCGGTGTTCAACTGGGAACCGCGTCTTTACGATCAGGAAGAATATTAGGAAAAGAAAAAATATCGTAGTGCATTATACCCTCAGTAAAACGTAAAAAGTGGCCGCTGCCGAGGCATGAGATGGTGGTCAAGATTTTCTTATTATAAGAAAGGGTCAGCCTCGGTACTACTGGTCTACTACTCCGGTACTACTGGTTAGCAGGAGGAGTCAACCAACTGTTTTTAATTTGAGATTGTTTCTTTGAGAAACGTTCAAGGTATATTAGCTTTCAAGGTATTTAGCAATCTGCTTTTGCAAAACTATCTGCCAAGTCACTTCCATGTAAATTCATGATGGAAGGAATCAAATAACGAGTAAAATGACTTTTTTTGTGTTGCATATTCTGTATTCCTAAGTTTAATTTTTTTCCAACTACAGTTGATTATTTTTAAAATCCAGCTATCCTTTAATTTCCTTACGATTAACATATAATAAAATGTGCTTACACAGAATTATAATAATAACATATTTTATTAAAAAAAAAGATTATTTTATCTACTTTAAAGGATAAAAGTTTTAAGAATATCAAGGGGGAAGAACGGTTTATTCCCATGAAAGCTGATTCTAAGAAAAACAAATTTGCGCACGGACAGGAACTGTTTTTCCACAGCACGGTCTATCTTCACTGGGTAATAACTCTCGGTGAAACGCCTTTTCCTTGAAAATGATTTGCTGAAACTTACTAAGAGATGGTAATGCAATCGTAGTTTTTATATAAAATAGTATATAAACCATTTTTCCCACTTGATCTTTACCTTTGAGTGAGAAGCAACAATGATGGTAAGTAATGGGGGTTGAAGATCGAAGCGAACAGAGGATGGAACCTGCCAGTGGAGTAAAAAATTCACATTGAGAGAATTAGTTCCAAGTTAAACATAATCTTTCAATTGGTTGTGTTACTATAATATATTAATTAAGAATATTTCAAATAAAAGACGGATATATTGTTTTTAAAGGTTTTTCAAAACAAACATTTAATTCCCCCTCTGGATATATAAAAATTTCCGATCCTCAAAATTTTCAAAACTGTCATAAAATGAATACTTATTGTAATTTGTTATAATATTTAATACAGATCAAATCCAATTTTTGCATTATTTGAAGTAATTTGACATATTTGATTACTTCAAAAGTATTAGCTTATTAGTGTTTAAATAATTAGATAATTAAATGAATACATAATTTACTGAAATTCTTTATTTTTGATTAAATGCCGAAAGAGCAAAGAGCATTAATTTATAATGTGGTTATATTGTTTTTTACTCTATTTTCAACCGCTTTATAAATGTTTGTATACAGAAGAAAAAAATCGATTTGTCCGTGTTTGCAATATTGTTTTCATTGAACTTTATTTAACTATAGATTGCTCTTTCATATTTATACAATTGCTAAGAAACAAACATCATTTATTCTTTTATTCCGACATAAAACCATTTTTAAGACACATTACATCATTTCACAGTTAGGCTATTTTAAGATTAAGAATTGTTTTGACTTTGCGAATGGAAATAATACAACTTTATGATTTTTAGTACAGTGTTAATTGTATTTTAAATAATAATTTTGTGATTTAAGAAACGAAAAATGTTTCTTTCCATTAGAGCAATAGGGGAAGGCAAAAAAGAGTAGTTTCTGCCAATCAAACTGCTCAAACAAAACATTGTATGATTTAGTATAACTCTGTTTATTCAAGCAGTCTTAACGATGAATAGTAAAGACTTATTTTTGATTTGCTTCTGTAAGGTTACATTGTGTCGAATAAAACAATATATAAGGAAAATATTTTTCTTAAATTTGCCAAAATATATAATTTCTTATATCTGAAATTATCAAATTTCGAATTCGAAAATTTTATTTTTTACAATTTATGCTGAAATTATGCTAAGATTTATTTTCTAGAATGCAGGTTTATCATTTTTTGTAAACATAACTTGCACATTCCTTCTAATATTTATTTTTATATTTTCATGCTTTTATACTTTTTCGTTAGATTCAGTTAATAGTACTATTTACACGGATTTCATTAAAACGTTTATGTTTGACGTAGTAAAGCCGATTAAACTTAATAGTCTTGCAATTAAACTTAATATTAAACTCCATTCATATAAATGGAAGGTAAAGAGTATATGCGTTGATGTCTAGATAGAGGATGCAGGTATTACTTAGTAATATAGACAAGTATTAAAAAAAAGTGTTTTCGCGAAAACTAAATTTAACCAGCTTGCATATTAGTATGACACCTTTTGTATAAAAAAAGTAGAAAAAATAATGATAACCTACCAAAAAATAATGATAAACCTAGGCTTTTAAGAAATTTATAAGAAATTTATTGTTCAACAATTTTGAAATTTTTTTAAGTTCCACAAGCAACTGAAATTAGATTAATAGCATGCAAGTCTTTCAATTTGAAAATTAATGTAATGGATATTGAGGCATTGTCATTAGTCAAAATTGTCATTAGTCTTATGAGAACGACCACATAAGCTTAGTTATATAGGTTTATTATTACTAAACTTTATGATTTTAATAAATATTCCTATACAATTACGTAAATTTTTAACATTAATAGTTTCACCTATTTGCTTATTTGCTCACCTATTTTCTTATTCTATTTATTTGCTCAAGTACAATTAATAATCAGTAATCATGTACAATCAATAATTTCCTCAAGCACCACTTTAAATTTAGTCCGTATATTATTGAATAAAGAAAAAATAAACACATTTATTTTATTTAACAATCAATGGTTATTAGAATTATTTGTTTAAAAAATACAAGGACTTTAAAAATATGCAGATTAAAATAAAAGCATGTCTCAAGCGCTCAAAAATAGGCGCCCATTCTCAAGACTTGCCAGACGTGAAGGAGAAAAAACAAAAGTATTTTGAGATATAAAAAGCAAATTTAACATTCAATATTTTAAATACGTTTTGTTTCTTCTCATTCAAACCTGGCAAGTCATTAGAATCGTTGCATTTTGAAGCACTTGAAACATGTTGACTTTGATTTCCATCTGCATATTTTTGAAGCTTTTGTTTATTTTTTTATTAAGTAATGTCTTACCGGTCCGTTTCTTTGAATAATTTATTTTATAGTTATTAGATAGTTATTATTATGACTTATTTAACAGTTAATGGATTTGTATCAACAGTTAAGTCATTTTTTTAAATTTTTGATTTAGATACTATTTTAAAGTTAGTCCGAAGCATGCGAAATAAATTTAAATAAACATATTTGTCTAATTTTTGTAACTAATAGTTTCAATTAAAGAGCTCCTTTTTTGAGAACACAGCAATGGTTTTCTTTAAGCATTTTAAGAAAGACAATGAAGTTAAATGTATTTTTTTAAACTAGAGTTTCCATATACATGAATGTTAAGTTGATCAGTCGCATTCAAGTCTTCTATTGTGACAGTTTCATATTGATGCTTAATAGGTGTGTCTCTTTTATCAAGGTTATAGTACAAAAATAAACATCTCGATTATTTTGCTTACGTTCATATTATACTTCTACAAAATTTTTGAGCGTAATTTTATATAAACATTAGAACTGTTCAAGCAACGATACATTTTAACTGCAACTGTCCTCTCTCTCTCTGTCAATAAATTTTTTTTTGCCTTTTTATAACTTAGAAACAGCATAATAAACAGCATACACGAAAGTTCCAGTGATGATTCCAGTGAAAATCGTTTCGGTTCTATGAGCAAGTAGCAACAGATCAGTGAATATGTTTTGGTTGTACTGATTTATTGTACCAAAATGGTACTCTGTTAGTCCCCCTTGCTTGTGTTACTTTAGGTTGTTTTTATACATTATTTTACTACAAGTATAAGAATTAAATCTTCTGAAGTATTTCATAATTTTAGTTACGCTCAAAAATCAAATATTTGAATAGATTAATACAAACTGTTACTGTTTTTTTAAAAATTCTTTTTATTTATTTTTTATTATTTTATTTATTTTTATTTATTTATTTATTTTTATTTTGACATTTCTTACAATTTGAGTAGTAATTTGTTAATCTATCATGCAATTGAAAAAAAAGTTAAAGTGTTTCATGAAGCAATTATGTTGCTTTTTTTAAATTGCACCGCAGAATAAGAATAAAAATTTTTATTAAATATTTAAAGCGCGCGTGAAAAGATTGATTTCTCTATGAAAAAATCTATCAAAAAAACTTATGATGAATCCAATATTTATACAATATGTCAGCTAAATTCAGAGCTGTAACAACTGGATTCAGCTGACAAGTTACAGCTATCATCATAAAGGACGTCTGCAAGCTGTTGCAAAAACATTTAACATTTTAAGCTACTCAAACTTATTTCATCTTTAAAGAACAACAATGAACAAGCAAAAATAATGACAACCAACTGTTCAAATACAATTAACAAAATGAGCACATTTTAAAAATGAATGTAACTGAACAAAACATGTGTTTTAAATGTCAGTTATACTTATTTAGGACTATGCCACTAATTTTTTTTTCAAAATAAGAATTCGTTTATAAATAAAATTACCCTCCCAAATTTTGAGATATTTCCTTGTCTCGTAATTTGAGAGGTTTTTTAGATTTTCGGCCTATAATTACCTGTAATTCACATATAAGACATAATTAAGTTAAAATCCGGAAAAGTAAATTCAAGATTAAAAAAATTACGATATAGACTATTATATTTTATAACTAGTTTTTTTCAAACAAATTTTGTCAAACAGACTTTTCCTTTGCGAACAAACTCAGCAGACAAAGGGATGTGGACGGAGATATAAATAAGCTTTTAATCCTCTGAATTTAGTTTTCGATAATAACTGATGATTGATATTTTTTCTACTGGGAAGTATTCTTGGTTAAATACAAAGTAGTCACCCAATCAGACTCGGAGAAATGTATAGTTTGTTTAAGAAAAGAACTCCCTTTGCCACTAAGTCTATGACCGTCTGCTATGGGAACTAGGATCAACGCATTTCAAGCAGGGGAGCTTTTTTCTTCTCAGATTCTCTCTCTCTTTGCCTGTCCGAGACGAAACCTGTCTTAAATATTGACATAACACCCCTACTTGAAATTGTTAAACCTCTTAACCATAGTCACCACCACTGTTCCAGGCGAATGGAAAGGGGAGTTCTTTCCATCGATAGACTACACACTGTAAAAAACTTCTGGTAACTAAGTTGCCAGAAATTTTCCGTGTGCTACCATGAAAACACGTTGCCAGAAATTTCCTGTAACAAAACGCGCATTGAAACAGATTTTTGAAATTTTGATTAGTTTCTTAATTATTCCATTGCTTGGGTGATTTTTCGTGATCTTTGAGACATCGAAAATCATAACGCTTGAATGAATCTTTAAGTTTTTATATTCAAAACTGAAAACAATACCCAACAGATACAATCTGTAGCAATGGTGACAGATTTTATTTCTTAGCAAAAAAAATGTCTCTTTTGGCAGATTACGATGTAATTAAACAGTAAATTTCTGTGCTTTAGAGAACAGAAATTCACAGAATTATTATGTTTTTATAGTGTAGTGAACGATATTTCAAAATTTTAGTAGACTTTTCTTCGACAATATTAGACAAATACTATTTTGTATCCAGCATTTTTGGAAAGGTTGCTGAGTATTGTGCCTTTTTTTAAACAGGTTTTTATAGATTATGGCTTTGTTTACAGATCTATAAATAATTAAAGAGGATCTATGAATGAATGAAAAAGATATATTTTTTCACGTACTTAACGTTTAAAATAGTTTTTCAGCTTCATTCAAATCAATTTTTGTAAATTCAAAAAAAAAAGTAAATAAATAAATAAAGAAAGAAAGAAAAGCACC